GTTTTGTTTCTAACAATGGCTCGTATGGTAGCACTTCTTTCGTAGAAACTATTGTCATGCACTAATCTTAACCTGTAACCTGAACACAACCAACGAACACCAACCATAAAAAGGGAAATAAAATAAAAAGAAACATTTCCTGAATTAGCACTACAAACTATTTCAAACAGTATTGATAGCCAATCCCCGACAATGGCGCCAAAATTTGACGAGCGCAAAGAACGCACTTAAATTATGTCCGTTAATCAAAGATAGTATAATATAATATCGTATCCACATAGATTTGATTTTAACAGTATTCTTGTAATTTCTAGCTTGATTGCTATCTAAGAGAATCAACAATTGAGATTTATATGATTAATAACTAAAATTATATAAGAATCTAAAGTTATTGACTAGTGACTATCAAGACAAAGGATAAGCAAATAAGGTTATCAGTGGGAGAAGATATGGTTTTGATAGGATAGGTGCAAGATAATTATTCGGGATCTAACTCTAGATATTTCACTTCCAATATTCAAGTGAGTCTCTCAAATTCACTCAATTATTAGTTCAAACGTGCAGCAAAAACTCCTCTCTCAATTAAGTCTTAACCTCACGAGATGAATCAAATTAAGTATGTGAAGATATGCAAGAATGCGTAGTGGATCGGTCTCTAGGAAAACCTCATTCGATTATTCTTCTAACTAGGTTTAGTTAGTGATTTAACTAGCCTCTTTCGATTACTTACAATAATCTATGAACTCAACCAACAATATAATGCAAAGATATCACAAGTAATGCCTCTCTTGATTACATTAACTAGTGAATATAGATGCAAAAATTAAATCTTCCAAAACGATTCAATACATAAAAATAGAGTTATAATCCACAAACAATCATCAATACACCAAATCCATCAAACCCTAGAGGGAACTACCATCAAGCAATCAAACTACACTTTTTAAAGACACGACCTTTTTAAACAACTCTCCTAACTCATCACACAAAGAATATTTAAAACAAATTAAGCACAATACCGTACCATCCTCATGTCGAGATTTGACTCAAAAGCATCACATATTTTTCACAACCCACTCACTTACTGTAACACAAAGGTCCACGAAATTACCTTTCCTTTGTGAATGAAGTGCCCTCACACAACAATAGAGACTAGTTCCACACACAATAAAATTAAGAACAATTCTGAACTCAAGATAGAAAGAATTCACTCACTCTGAGAAACAACATTCATATGCCACAAAAGACGTACCATAGGCTTGCCCGTAGTGTACTACTATACCAATTGAGCTCATTCAATCAAGGATCAAGTAGGACATTATTTATTTCAATGTAGGTTGCGGGATGGGTAGGATACATTTGGATATAAGAGTGACTACACCTCCCTAAGCACTTTAATACATACAGTTAACCGTGCAAAACCCCCCACACTTATGTCAACCATAACTCGAGCTTCACATCAATATACATCAACACCCAACTTCATTAAGCACAAATACATCAAAAATTACCACTATCAAGGAAAATATTTAACAACAATAGAACTATTTTTCTTTTTTCCTTTTCTTTTTCAATTCAAGTGGTTCTTAATTTTTTAAAACAATGCACCTTTCTCCATTTTTCAATTGTTCAACTCAAAAGCTAAACCACCACCCCCACACTTTAACTTTTACAAAGTTCATACAATATTCAAACGCTCACGAGAGGTAAAAGGTTCAAATAGATAGTCAATTCAAATAAATGGGTAAGGCTTGTAATGTGGTTGTAAACGAAACAAGATTATAGGCTCAAAGGGGTTTACTAAGGTACATAAATATTAGGTAGGTAAAAGCGTATAACTGGCTCAACAAAGAAATGCCTATATCGCTTCCAAGACTGAATAAGACTACCATTTCTCTTTGCAAACATATGAGAAAAGTTCTAGATATCAGATGCAATGCACAAAATAACACAAACTCTCACACACACATGGCATATAACTCACTAAGAATTGGACTATCAAGACACTATAGTCAAAGGAGTTAAGCTATGTTAAGATCATACAATAAAAGATACTTATACAAGAGTAAATAACTGAGCCTAAGCGTCACAACTAAAGCACTTAGTATTCTCAAGGTATAATAAAGTCAAGAGATATTGCCTTCGTTTCAAATCACAGTACAAGATTTCCTACTTCTAGAAAAAAAATAAAACTAATTGCACCTGGTTCAAATAAAACATTTGGAAAAGAATCGCGGTAAAAAGAAAACCCAAGGGGGGCTTGTTATATTGCCTAACAAAAGAATTTTTTTTGTCTTTTTCATTCGACTTTAATAGCTCAAGAAATCTATCGATGATATCCATCATCCGAAAAAATCTAAACTTTTTCTATCTATAACTTCTACAACTAAGAAAAATAAAACTAATATACATACATACAAATATCCTCCACCCCACACTTTAAGTTGCGATGCCGTCATGGCACACAATTAAAAAGCATAAGGTATAGGAAACAACTTCCTCTCGGCCTTATTTGGGTACACCCCACACATATCTTTCTCGCTCACTACAGCCTTCTCTTTTGAGCCCTTTACTTTCTACTCGACACTCGCAACAGGTTTGTCCTTTGTGGCCCCTTTGCTACATCCGTCTTAAAAGTCACAATCTCCTCACCCACTCTAAGCATTAGTTTTCACTTGTGTATATCTAATATAGCTCTACCTGTCACTAAAAATGGTCTTTCTAGGATGAGGGGGACCTCCTTGTTTCCTCCATATTTCCCACTATAAAATCAATAGGAAATACAAACTTATCCACCCAAGCTAACACATCTTCCACTATCCCCTCGGGTATTGTAGTCATTTGGTCTGCCAGCTGCAAAGATATGGGTACAAACCTTATCTATCCAATCTTCTTCTCCAGTTTCCTGTAGATAGATAGAGGCATTAAATTATTTGAGGCACCAGAATCACTTAAGGATTTATCAAAATTAATAGTTCCTAAAGAGTAAGGTATAGTAAAACTCCCTAGATCTCCACACTTTTGTGGGAGTTTATTATGCAATATCGCGCTGCAATGCTTTATAAGCTTGACCACTGAGGTCGCCTCTATTTTCCCCTTATTTGTAATGATCTCTTTCAAGAATTTGGTATAAGCAGGCATCTATGTCCATCCTAGACAACAAAGCATGGTGGCCACGTTTGCAAAGGTTTATCATTCCCCCGCGGAAGATTTTGGCGGAATAAAGATTCATCACATGAGCTAAGGTTAGCTCCTCCCCAATTTCTTGGCACAAGCGTCGGAGGCAGGCGATCGTCCTCCACATTGAACGACTTACCTATGCCAAACATACCTGGTAGCGAAGGAAAAACTCCGCAATCACGGAATCAAGCTCTCCTCTCAAAGAAAATGCACCCAAAGTAAAGGGATACGTGAAAAGTATGTAAAACCTTCCTTGGGAAGGGTCACTCGCTCTGATAGATTAGGAGCAATGATTTCCAACTCATTGCAGTGCCAGTCCTCCTTCACAACAAGGATACTAGAAAGACGAATGGAAGAAGAGTACCTACTAACAGCCTATGTACGAGGGTTAGCAGTAGGGAATTTCTCTTCAAAATCCTTTGCAGTATTAAGCCTCCTTGGGATAATGGAATCCATTGTTGGAGGAACGGAGTCCTTGATTTTGTTCTTATTCATTGAAGAACCACTACGTTTAGAAGAAGAAGCCATTGGAAAAGAAGAAGGTAAAGAATTTTTGTTTAAAGAAAATTAGGAAAATGATGGAAAACAAGGATGCAAATCAGAAACTCAAGCAATTGTGAAGCGTAAAGGAAAAGAAAGTTGCGTATAAGTAAAATTTTGCCGGCTAAATTCATGGCCACGATTACCTCGATAACCAGCTAAAGTTGTGCTGAATCATGGGATGACGCGTGTTCGGGACATTAAATGCGGAGAGACGTGCATCTAATCAACTGTCATAGACCTTCAGAGGGAATTATAGTAATTGCCGCCAAAAAGGAGTTTCTACCAACTTTCCGGTAACACAAAGTTATGTCACCGGAAAGCAGGGGGACTATCTTTAAAGGGTAAAATATGATATAACGCGTGGCTGACTAAAGGAGGACACGTGGAACCCAAGATGGAATGGCTAAGGACCGAACGTAGCCACTACGTTTGTCACTGGAACAGATAATGTTCATAAAAGTATATTAAAGGTTCTGCGCCCGGTAGCAATTACTAAGGAATATTTTACAACATTAAGAGCGACGGTTCGTTACAAAGAATTTGGCATTTACGCTCAACGTTACATCTACATCAATGACCCTCATAATTGACATTGAAGGAAGGCACGACCCTAGGACCTTCTTCCCTAGACATAACTATAAATAGTGAGCTCAGTTATCATTGTAAATGACACGAAATTTCTGGCAAGAACATATATTATATTCTATACAAAACTTTATATAATTTCACTCTCTGGCTTTTTGATCCCATCATTGCTGTGTTCGGAAACCGTGTTCATGAAATCACTATCTTCGCTATTTCATCTACATTCCAAATCTAAGTATTGCGTATTTCTTTGATTATTATATTATTTCAGGATCATATAAATTCAACTGTACCGTTTTACGGGTAAACAATATATTATATAATGTAAAAATATTTTTACAATTAGATTATTTGCAAAGTAATTACAAGTAAATCTTTATAATAAATATAAACAGTAATATAATAAAAATACAAACAGTAATATAATAAAATGGTAAGTAACCTATTATGAAAGTTTAAGCTGCACTAATGGTATAAAAGATTGAGAAATGTTTTTTCATGAAAAAAGTAGTCTCCAAAGTTCTTTGCAAGTAAAGAAAAATATATATGTACAAAAAAGACTGCCTTAAAAAGATACTATTTGACGCTTATTATTGACTGTTGAGTACACTTTTTACCGGAATTTATGATGAATCCTTTTATCAAGATTATTTTATACTTCAAACATCAAGATAAAAGTGTTTAGAGAAGCCTTTTCATAAAACAAAAGCATTTATTCATTAAAGTCTTCATCATTACACGATAATCAAAAGGGATTAACCTTCTGATACTAGAAAACATGCTATTTGTTTTTCAAACCTTAATTAGTAGACATGAAATACAAAACATAGTATTTCTCAATGGCTTAACAAGGGACCAGCTGGATCTCAACAGCTTCAATGGAAACATTATCCCCTCCAATTTTAGGAACCAGAGTCACCACAACAAGATCATCACCTTCAAGTTTTAAATCCTCCAATAATTCATTAATAGCCAGGCTAAATTCAGGAAATTTTTCTTTTTTGGGATCATCATGAATATGTGGTAAATTTGCAAAACTCCCAACAAATTCTGTCCTGTCCACCTCATTTGCAATCACATCATTATCCTCATTGAGGAAAACATCAAACCTTACAAACTTTCTCACATCCAATTCCACATTCTTGAAAGTCAATAGTTCCTCTTCATCTTCCTTCTCTTTTTTAGTTCTTAATTTTTTAGGTCTAGCCACTGAAAATGTTACAATCTTGTCCAATTTCTTTATAGGGAATACTTGACTAGCTGGTGGAACTGAATTTGGATCAATCTTGACATTTTTTGTGTTCTTTCTTAGTAGTGGCTTGAAATTCTTCCAAGGTGTATCCATTGGTTGAAATGTATATCCCAATTTCTTTTCATCCAAGCAATCTTGAACCCTAACACGAAAAGGCTTTGCCTTTTCATCGTAGAAAAAGAACTCAGTGTCCAAATAATCTGGGTCACTAATATCCTTACGTTTTCGTCCCAGTGTTTTCCATATTGTCCACATTCGATCAACATTGGCGTGAAGTGAAAAAAATGCAGGATCTTTGCCTGACGAATAAAAATTTCCCATGTCTTCTTGATTTGGTTGTCTTGGATCACCAACCCATCTATGTATAGAATTATGTGGCACATTTTCTATAGTACCCATCCCTGGACTAGGTTTACTTCCAAGTCTATAAGGTTTGCCAAAGAAGAGCAAAGGGCAAGGGGCATTAGTGATCATTTGACGATACATTATAGCGAGATTATTAACCATTTTTTGTAGATCATTTGCTACCACATCTTCTCCAGCATAACCAAGATCCATAATAAACCCATTCCTATGCTTTTGGTTTCGCCTTTCGTTATATATACTTGTACCTATAATTAGGAAAATTAGAATAAAATGGTTAATATCGAAATAATCAGGAAGCTAGTAATTGTAGGAAGGCTTCAAGGCATGAAAATAACTTTTTTTAAAGATAAATTGGTCGTGTACTGATTAGGAAAATACAAACAAGTACTTCTGGATATAACAAAGCCATATATGTGTATTTGGAATTACTTTATTTACTTAAGACTCCGCCATTCTGAATAGACATTTTATTCCACAAACAAACATATCTGTTTAAATCATAAATTGACCATTCTGAATAGACATGTATTCCACAAAATTACCTCTAAGTTCTAATTTATGTGACATACTTTTATAATTAGTCCGTTAAAAAATATTATATTTTTATATTTAAAAATAATTTAACTTTAAACTTTTTATTTTACCTTTAATAATGAGATGTTTTATTATTCACACAAATGTTTTGAACTTTTTATGACCATAAGCTTCAAAATATTTTACAAGTCACACAAATATTAAGACATATTAAAACACCACAAATTTTAAAAGTTTTTTTCTCTTAAATTTCGTGGTAGTCAAATTTTCTAAAGCATTTTTAAAAACTTAAAAGGGCTTCTCGTCATGGATGTGGGATATATTCGACTTGTCAACACAAATATTGCAAACTACAACCAGAGGCGGATCTACTGTTTTCGACTAAACTAATACTTTTGACGTGAAATATAAATTTATGATTAAAAATTTAATAAAATTATACTCCCTCCGTTTCAATTTATGTGAACCTATTTGACTGGGTACGGAGTTTAAGAAAAGAGAGAAGACTTTTGAACTTGTGGTGTAAAATGAGGCATATATATTTTGAGTGGCTATAAATCATTGCATAAAGGTAAATGGTTTCCAAATAGGTAAAGGGGTCATTCTTTTTGGCACGGACTAAAAAGAAAATAGGTTCACATAAATTGAAACGGGGAGTAATAAATAATAGATATGGAATTACTTTATTTACTTAAGACTAGGTCATTCTGAATAGACTTTTTATTCCACAAACAAATATATCTGTTTTAACCATAAACAAATCATTCTGAATAGACACTTTATTCCACAAAATTACCCTCTTAATTCTAATTTACGTGACACACTTTCATAAGTAGTCTGTTAAAAAAAGTTCACATTTTTATATTTTTTACCTTTAATAATGAGATGATTTATTATTCACGCAAATGTTTTGAACTTGTTAAGACCATAAGATTCAAAATATTTTACAATCGCACAAATATTATAATATGTTAAAACACCACAAATTTTAAAAGTTTTTTTCTCTTAAATTTGGTGACAGTCAAATTTTCTAAAGCTTTTTTAAAAACTTAAAAGGGCTTCTAGCCATATATTCCACTTGTCGTCACAAATATTATAAACTACAACCAGGGGCGGATTCGGTGTAATGTTAGCGAGTTCAACTGAATCTAGTACTTTTGACGTGGAATATAATACCTTCGACATCAAACATGTCAGGCAAATGCATGCCTTTAGGATGGTCCCAATTCCAATATGGCAAAGCAAATGTAGGGTCACCAATTAGGGAAGCCAAGATTCTCTCATGGAAGTATAAGTACCTATAACAACAAATTTTGTAACAAGAGAATAGCATAACAAATTATAGAATATAAATACTTAATTAAAGCACGTACATACCATCTATGAAAAGGGAAGAAAAGCCACGAGAAGTGAACTTGTAACTCTTTGCCTCCAACTTTATAAGCACCATTGCAATAAGCACAATGGATATTGGCTTGTTGCATGAAACTACGAGGATCGTCTGTCGGCAACGCCTTCATACGCGAATAAGCTTCGTTATACTTAGCTATGTATTCGTCATCTACAGTTTGAGCTGCAGGACGAACGCGAAATCCGGATACAAGAGGAAGGTCATAGCAAGGAACGTCTTTCTTATCCGGGATAGGAGGACAACAAGTGTAGCACACAGGTATTTTAGGCACGCCATCATCAATAAAGGCAGTGCTACATTGTGTAATAGTAGGGGATGGGATGGGACTTGCTAAAGCATCATATGGTAAAAGATGGGCAGCACCATAAATTCCTCCTAAACCAAGAAGAAGATTTCTCCTTTCAACTTTTTCTTGAGAATTATTTGCCTCATTGTTTTGGTTGCATGATACTTTGAACTTATTGTTTGGTTTTTTGTGTGGGAAAACATGTGAGGGTTTTGTAAAGGAAGGAAAACAAGATAAGTTGGTTGTGATAGCCCATGGAGCTTGAAGAACAAATGAAGAAGCCATAACTTGATGAGTGTATTATGATTTCTTTGATAAAAGGGTTCCACCTATATATAATGATAAGTTGAAGTAATAAACGCCGTTAGTGTAAAGAATTCTTTACACTACTAAGTAATTATCTTAATTAAGGATGTCTACAAGTAAGCCTTTTTAAGATGTAGAATATGTAATCTTGAAAACAAAATAATTTACACAGTTAACGATAACCTAATAATATAAAAATTACTTACACGGACTAAGCATATTGCTTAAACTCTATAATGTTTTCCAATGAGACGAATTAGTGCGTGAAAGTAAAGATACTCACCAACCCCATTACAAGTTGCGAAAATAATGTAGGTCTGGTACATACAGGCTAAAAACGTTTTAGTCATTAGCCATATGGAACACTATATTTGGTAGCCTCAATAATTATTACATTTAATATTTAGAGTAACCGATTATTGTATGTCAATTTATTTAATGGTGTAAATATAAATACTTGAAAGCACTGTTAGTTAACAACATTTAAACACGCTATTAATTGCACTTTGTTCTGTTATTTATTAAGAATTTGTAATCCACTTTACTTATTATGAATTTCTTATCCACTTTATTTATTATGAATTTAACAATCTCTACTTTTTTTGGAACGACGACCATGATTCTTTTATGTTTACACTCTTAATTTCGACCCGTCATCTACAATTTGCAGAATATACTATTCCTTTTGCTCCAATTTATATGGCACATTTTAGACTTCGAGGTCAAAAAAATTTTCTTTGACCGTGATTATTTCACATGCCATTTAGATATTTTGAATTATTAATTATTGTGAAGATACTTCTTATGTACTTTCTAAATATATAAATTATATTCAAAAAATTTAAAGATTCTATGTCAAATTCATGGTCAAAATTAAGAAGTTTGACTCTCGAAATCTGAGTTCTGCCACATAAATTGGGACAGAGGGAGTGGATATTTTTGTAACGATCTATTCTCCAATCACGTATTTTTGACAACAAAATGATCCGTCTCTAAATTATAAAAACAATTAAACAAAAAAAATTAATTTTATCCTTTACGAGATACTTTTATAGTCACGCAAATATTATGACATGTTTAAAATTATAAATTACAACAACAAAAAGTTAATCACGCAAATATTATGGCTTAATTAGAACTACAAATTAAATTTTTTCTTATTTCTTTCTTAAACTTATTTGTTCAGTCAAATAAGTAGTTCACACAAATAAAACTGATGGGGTAACTATTTATTGATAAGTAAGATTCATGCATGTATCAATAATATATGAGAGGCTAAATAGGAAAAGTAGAAGCAAATTAGGTTCTCTAAACTTAATAATATCACGAAAGCTGGATTTGATGGGACTTCATACTCAGGATTTGAATCCGAAATATCTTATTAAAGATATAAAAATACTTAACACTCCATCGTAACTCTTGTTGGTCACAATTTACATATTTAATTTATCAAAATATACTTAATTCTGATCATCAAATGTTTAGGAATTCCTCCCTTTTGAACTGTACATAGAAGAAATTCGAATCTTTAATTTGCTTATACTTACAGACAGGTGTATATGTTTTAGACCTGAAAAAAATGTTATGTTATAGATTAGTTGTTATCCAATAATTTAATCTCAAAATTTAAATTATTATAGCATACACATGTCTTACTTTTATATGAACACTTTAAAATAGCAACATTTTAGTTCAAAAAGGCTTAGTGGGTAAGAAAATAATGGTTTTTTTGTGAACACTTTAAGAAGAATATGTAAAACAAATAGCACAAGTGGAATAGTGAAAACAAAGGTAAAATAGTGCATAAGACTTCCCTAATTAATGTTGGCATATAGCCGGTCACATTCGGTGTTTAATTTTTTTAGTCTGTATACATAGATTATACATTGATTAAACACAGCTATATATATATATTATACATGAACTATATATATATATATATATATNCGATCTTGTAAATAATTAAATATATTTACCCGTTTCAAGATTTATACTTTCTCCTAATTTATCTCTAACATATAGTCAGATGCTCTCATCTTGCTCTTTTTTTTTTAAAGGATTTACTAAGATTATTCCCCTAATTGAGTCTATTATTGTGCAAAAATCCATGTTAAGATGTTAAACTTGATAACATCATATTAGTTGGATAGCGGATTTTCTTTCTAGCCATTATTTCCTCTCTTCGTTCATTATTATTTCTCCCCTTATTTATCTCTCTTTCTCGTTTTTGTTTTTTAAAAAAATCAAATGTAGAGACTAGAGGGCAAGGTTAATTTTTCAAAACTAAATGGGGACCAATTAGTCAATTATCTTATCGTCCATTGTTTTTTGGGCTTTAGTGGTGGCGAAACCAGTTATTTAATTGTGAATTTTCACATTTTTTCAATTTTCCAAAACTAAATAGGGACCAATTATTCAATTATCTAATCGTCCTTTTTTTGGGCTTTAGTGGTGGCGAAACCAGTTTTCTAATTGTGATTTTTCACATTTTGCTTTGTCATTTTTTCGTCCCTATACAATATTTGAAATTTATTTATCAATATTATTCTAATTTTGTATATTACCCGCCCTAAATAAGAATTACTTATAAATTATATATATTCCACCTTAAAATGCTCACAATCCATTATTAGTGCTTCCAATCAAGTTATTTAATTATACCATTTTCCTTTTTTCTCTCCTCTCTCCCCTCTTTTTTTCTACATCCAACTTATATTTAAAAAAACTGAATCTTATCCCGGAACTAAAAAGGGAAGAAAAAAGTGAAGAGTAAGTATGATAGAGAAATGTATGTCGTCTCTATTGCTCTGCCATTTGTATTAATTTAAGTTTAGTTTTAGTTATGATAACTTTTAGTATAACAAGAATAATATACGTACCAATTAAAAACAACAAATGATCTCCCAATCATTGACAATGTTATCGAGCCAAATATTATAAGATATCCACCTGGGGAAAATTCAAGAAAACAAATCAATAATCTTGCTAGTTGTGGGTGAGCTCGTATACTTTGAAGCCTAATTCATGTGTAGTAAATAGAAAATCATATTACTGTGATGATCTAGTATGATATCTTTAATTTTATACATTCATTTATGTATTCTGAGACCTCGAATAGCACCTTTCAGTATTTCTCGACTTGCGTGCGCAGTCCGTAAATTTTTCCGAAAAGTTTTAATGTGAAATATTGATTAAAATATGAAATGGAGCTTCAAAACTCATTTGAGTTGACTTCGGCCAACGTTTGGAGCAAACGGACCCGGATCACTATTTTAATATTCCGGTGGGTCCGTATCGTGATTTGGGACTTGGGCGTATTTCCGGAATCGAATTCAGAGGTCCCTAACTTGAATTATCACCATTTAACGGAAACTAGAAACCTAAAGGCTAAAGACTTCTAAAGTTTAACTGTGAATTTGACTTTATCGATATCAGACTCGGATTGAGATTCCGAGAGTTGGAATAGCTCCGTTATGTCATTTATGACTTGTGCGCCAAATTTGAAATCATTCCGGATTCATTTAACACGTTTCATCGCGGGTTTTGTAATGAAAAGCTTGAAACTCATAAATCTGAATCGAGGTGTGAATTACAATTTCGATGTTATTTGACGTGATTTGAGACTCCGAGTAAGTCCGTATTATATTACAGGACTTGTTGGAATATTCAGACGAGGTCCCAAGAGGCTCGGGTGAGTTTCAGATTTGTTTCAGACCATTTTGGTAAAGATTTGCATGTATGGTTCTGGTGTTTCGCATCAGCGACTTTTGGAGCGCAGGTGAAGCCCCGCTTCTGTGACCTGAGCACTAGAATGATGGCATGCTTCTGCAGAGTAATGTTGCGCAGATGCGCAATCGCTTCTGCGAAGGGAGGACCGCTTCTGTGATGTCGCAGGTGCGACACTCCTTACGCAGGTGCAGCTACTGGCCTGGCAGCCTGGCATCGCAAATGCAAGCTTTGTCTCGCAAATGCGAGTCCACATATGCGGAACTTGTGTCCGCAGATGCGAAAATGCTGGAAAGAATACATAAAATTGGGTGTTAGCCATATTTGCTCATTTTTGAGTTTTGAGTCTCGGATTTGGGCGATTCCAAAGGGGGTTTTCACGACTTTGACTTGGTTAAGTGTTCTGTATCAGAAAGTGATTATATTTCATAAATCCATGTTTATATTCATCATTTATTTCGGATTTAGACGGAAGAAATTAAAAAATTTTGTAAAACTTTCGATAAACGAAATTTTACGATTTGAAAGAAAACCTGATGTCGGAATTCGATAATTTTAGTATGGTTGAACTCGTATCGAAACAAGTGTCCGGATTCCGTGATATTTTGTCTGGTTTCGAAAAGTTGACCCCACATTGACTTTTGGTTGACTATTCCGAAAATGACTTAAATTAAGTCTCTTTCGAATTATGAATAATTTCTAAAGCTCCAATTGAATTGTTGGCCAATAATTTGATAGGTTTGATTGGTTCTGAGACTAATTCTAAGGGAAAAGATGTGGTTGCGTGATCACTTGAAATTGCAAAACGAGGTAAGTGTCATGGTTAAACTTGACTTGAGGGAATAGAACCCTTGAATTATTTGTTGCGTGAATTTCATGTGTAACGATGTATAGGCGAGGTGACGAGTGTCTATACGTTGTCAAATTGATTGTTTGCATATTTATCTGAAAATCATAAATAATTTTAAATCATGAATTTATTATTATATTGATTATTTCTCTCATATTCCTTGTCCAATATTATGTCTTGGATTCATGCTATAATTACTGCATGCTTATTTGACTTATGTGTCTTCATTGCTACTTGACATTTAGCGTATTAAATATTAAATTGCCTATTTTCTCCGTAATTTTCCACAATTAATTGCTACTTATCATTACTTATTTCCTAAATAAATCATAATCATTGTATGCCTTGTTGCATAATAATTTCTTATTAAATATGGTATTTATTGGAGCATTTTTACATTTAAGAGTTGTTAAATTATATTGTTGGAGCGGGTTGCAACGAATTTATTTTAAGTTTATATTATTGGAGCGGGT